GAAATGTCTACACCAAGGGATATACAAGCAGGAGTGCCACAAGGTTCTGTTCTCTCCCCCACACTGTACAGTCTATATAAAAACGATACGCCCCAAACACCTGATGTCTATATAAGTCTCTTTGCTGACGACACCTGTATATATGCGACACCCAGCAAAAAGGGTTATGTTCTCAGAAAGCTGCAGCGAGGTCTCAGAGCTACTGAGACGTGGTGTGAGCGCTGGAACATAAAAATCAATTAAGATAAAACTGAGGCAATCTACTTTTCTCATATAGTTAGGCCCCTTCAGACACATCTTACATTGAATGGGCAGAATACCCCCTTTGTCAATCCTGTAAAATACCTTGGCGTAATCTTCGATAAGAGGATTACGTTGTTGTGCCCAGGATTTTGGAAACTTGATTTTGATGTTTAAATTATAATATTAAGGCTTACTAGATATGAATTTATGGGTGAGTTAGAATGATGAAACGAACTACGGAAATCAAGCTGGCTCATGTATCCTGTTAGTCCTGATTATTCATTTCCGTTAGTCAGCCACTTCCCATCATGCAGGACAAAGTATGAGGCAGTCAGGAAAGACCAAATATAGGCAAGTTTTAAGAACCATAGGGAATGTAGCCAATGGGAATCGCCGATTCCCAATGCGTCCATGAGGACGGAAGCACGCCCACGGATCCAGATGGTATAAGAACCCTGGGACCAGGGGGCGGAGCGCGGAGACTGGACGAGTGTTGCCAGACGCCAGAGGGTACGTTTCGAGCCGTGGGGCCCGACGTCGCGAAGTCGCGAGGGGCATCTCTGACCCAGGAACAGAGAGAGAGATGGGAGCGTAGTATCGCCTAAGGAAGGGGCACGTGAGTACTTGCCGATGGTTGGTCACCCGAAAGAACTGACAGGCCACCCGGTAGAGGTGACAGGTCACAATTGAAGTACTAATTTGTATTAAGATTAGGTTAGGCTCATGGAGCATCAGGCACAAGAGAGAAGCGGGTAAGAACGAGACGGCCGGGGCCTGCTGCTACTCCGGATCGTTCAACACGTTCCATTATATAGGAACATTATTTAGATAGGTTAAATACCATACTTATTTGCTTGTGAGTATTATTTGCTTGTGACAGGAGGACGAGGAGGAAGGATAGAACACGCTACAGCCGCAAGGCACCTTTGTATTTGCTTCTAATCATAATTAACCTATTTTAATATACACATATTTGCTTTAGTGCTGTATTATTGTGAAATGGTATGTATGTGACCCCTGCACTACCTTTTCCCTTGTGAGTCCCGGGGTTGGAGAGAGATACCTACTGGTGCCCCGAGGGGGGAGTAGGCCACGACCCCCCTGCGGCACAACAACGTGGAGACTTCACACAGATGTGGTTGAAGCCAAGGCCTTCAGAACATTTATTAGAATCTACTCCCTATTCAAAAATGAGCGCTTAAACGCAAATATTAAACTAACCCTCCATAAGGCACTGATCAGATCAGTAATGACTTACGCTTGTCCCGCCTGGGAATTAGGGGCAGACACCTACCTCCTGAAATTGCAGTGCATGCAAAACAAGGTTTTGCGCACCATTGGAAATTTTCCAAGGTGCACACCAGTCCGGGACTTGCACACAGCTTTCAACTTTCCGTATGTATACGATTATATAACAAAATTGTGCAGACGACAACCAGAAGTCATACAAAATCATGAGAATGAACATGTTCGCGGTATAGGACAAGGTGAAGCCAGACACAGAAAATATAAGAGGCTTAGACTCGGCGGTGGTCAAGCTTATGGCGGTTCAAATGAATAAATTTTCGTTGTAGCTTAAGATATGTAAGTTAGGCATGATCTGCTCTGTAAAGCCTGTACTGAAGAGGACTTGTGTATAGTGCAAAAGGAAGAGTTTTCGATAACACGCTATATGCGCGAAATGTACAGTTGACGAAAGGTCGAATATATTCATAAGAGACAGACCCATCTTCTCGTCAGAGAGGATGTTACATAAGGACTATTACCGCAAGAGTTCAGTGGGGAAAATGAATCTCTGGTCGTGGGGCTCAAGGGGCCTGACGCCAAGACGAACTGATTGGGGGTAAACCGCCAGTCGTAAAGTAACTCTGACTCTGACTCTGACTCAACTAGCAATGAGTTGTCAGTTTAAAGCCAGCTTGTGAAGAGAAGACTAGGAGGTTGATGTGAAATGGCCACCAACCTGGGACCCAATTAGTTTAGTTGTCAGTTGGCAAGAGTTCTTGCACGGGCCGTTGTGACAAGAGGACCTGAGTGCGGAAAGCTGAAGAATCTCCACTGTTAGAAGTCCTTACCATGGAAAGGCATATGAAGAAACAGCGGACTGGAAAAAGGCTTATTGGGTGCTGTGGTGATTGTAAAGTTTGGAGATTAGCGATAGTGCTGTAATTACTTGTAGTTCCTAGTAATGTGTATAAGTGGTCAACGAATTCATTCGCCAACTCATACACCTAAAACGTGACAATATGGTCACGAGTCCAGCAGGACTCGGACACGATAATGACTGTGCTGGCGAGGACCAGCAGCAATTTTAAACGGCAGACCCGTCCTCTCGTCAGAGAGAGAGCCCCACGTTAACAAATCCGCAACTGTCTGACAGTAGCAGAAATCTGGTCTTTATCCTCAGATGTGGGCTTGACACCACAACAGACTGCCCAACTGACCGTCGGGCATTAACATGACTCTGACTTCGACTTTTTGAAGTATTCAGTTCCAAATCGTACACACTCGGTGCCAGTTACGTGCAGTAATTTAAATACTTTGATGCCCTGAAGCGTAAAGCCTCCTCTGACAGAAACACCGTTTGTGCGGGTGTGCTTGTATGTGTGAATGCGTGTCTGTATTGTAATGTAAATACTTTGTGAATAGACAGACAAACCCTGCTGTGTGAAACCTCCACTGACAGTGCTTTGTATATTTCTGTTTGAATGTGTGTGTATATCTGTACGTCACTGCAAATATTTCATGAACTGACAAGCATACGGTGCTATACATAGCCTCCATTTGCAGATGTGTTAGGTATGTGTTTTTATGCTTGTATGTGTATGTTGTGTTGAATACGCCTTCAGAGTCTAGAGAGTGCACTCTCATACACAGAGCTTCCGTTGACAGACGGATATGAACTTCTATTTAGATACCTTTATATTTTATTTCCACGAACGGGGGCGAAAAGGTATGCATATAGGACATTGGTGGGAAAGCCAGAAGAAAGGAGACCACTAGGCACATCAAAAAGTAGATGGTTAGATAATATTAAAAATGTATCTTCGAGAGATAGGATGGGGTGTTATGGACTGGGTTGATCTGGCTGAGGACAGCGACCAGTGGTGGGTTCTTGTGAACACCGTAATGAACCTTCGGGTTCTATAAAAGGTTGTGAAGTTCTTGAGTTTTACGGTAGATGTACAACTGGCGGCTTCTTAAGAACGGCTCATTTCCGTGAAGTTATTTTATTTCAATGTTTTGTGAATCGACAGGCTGGTTCACAAGGACTCCACTGACATATTTATTGTACATGTGTGTACATGTACATTGTATATGTGTGTGAGAGTATATCTGTGTGTTCTTCATTCCACAATTCGTACATCGCAGTACGAAATCGTCACTGAGAGACACGTTTTGTGTTTCAGTGTCTATGTATGTATGTGTGTATGTATTTCAAACATGTAGTAAACAGCCAAGGCATCACCTTCAATAAAATATTTCGACCGCCCTCAAATGCCTTGCATATACTGCATATATACATAATATTTTAAATATTATTTCTTCACGGACATCTGCTGTGTCCTCTACTCCTCTCCAGTCATACATATTACCGAACGATGCGTCAAGGCCGACGTTCAAAGTTGCCTGCCACGAATAACACACACAAACACATAAACAAACCTTATCCTTTACATTGTGTTCTACACTTCACCTACCAACATCAAAATTGTTTCAATACTCAGCAGTTATGATCAAATATAACAAAAGATTGCACGCTTGTTCGTCACCTGCTACATATCTAATCTTCATGTATCGTATTAATACTTGATAATTCTTTGCCATATTAACCCCAAATTCAGCATGACTGGTGAATTTCGCGCTTAAAAGCAGCTACTGCCACGTGTAGTACTGACTGTAAAACGGGTTTGGATTGGTCACTCGATTTATTGACCACTTATAAAGATCACTACTACTTGTGTTATCAGTCTGTTACAGTCTCCACTAGCCGTATCCTGGTAACGGAGTTTAACACTGTAACTATAAGAGCCTCACTGAATACTCCAAATGTCAATATAACTGCAGCACACATAAAGTGTTCCTTTCACTGCCTGACTTTCAAATGACTCAGCTCAGAGTCAGTGTCAGAATTATTTTACGATTGGCGGTTTATTGCCAGTCAGTTCCTCTTGGCGACAAGCTCCTTCAGATTCACGGCCAGCAATTCTTTTCCCAACTGAACCCTTGCGGTCATAGTCCTCATGTAATATTCTCTCCGACGAGAGGATGTATGTCTTTTACAATTGCTGCTGTTCCTCGTCAGCGCAGTCATTCTATTTGCCTGCCTCAGATTCAAGACTCCACAAACCTGGAGGGCTAGGTCTAGTATTTATATCCCCAAGCAACAGGGTTGCCCAGTTATAACCCCAGGCACTGTTTCCACTTTTAGTCGCCTCCTACGACTCGCAGGGCTATGGTGGAGGTATTCGGGCCCGCCTTCACACTACTTCAACTGACTCAGCTCTAAACCTCGTCTCGCTTATAATCTCCGGCAAGGACCATGCAGAAAACACAGCTCTTCTATTGTTGCTCTAAACATATCCACGGGAAAGTGTTTGTTTGCGAATGCTTTAACTTGACACGGAAGCGTATATTTTCTTATTAAAAATATGTTGCCTAGCATCGAATGTTGTTTAGTTTCCCGCCTCGAGGCCGCTACCCAGCAACGGCTCTATATGCTACATAATGTTACTGTGATTACATAACGGGGTTACCTTGGAAACGAGAGACTGGCGTCCTCCACGTGGTCCGTCCACCAGGAAGAGGGAGGCGCCATCAGCATCCAGAAGCACCGCGAGGTTGTCCACTGTCTTCTGCGACAGAGACTTGAGGTCCAGGTCAGTCGCCACGTCCCTGACTATGCCCAGAAAGAAGTCCCTCTCGCCCTGGGCTCTCAACAACTCTCGCTTCGCAGAGCGGTTTGGCGCAGGGGCGCACTGGGGAAGTCGGATCTTGGACTCGATCAGAAGGGACAGCATATTGATGGAATTTGGAGGAAGCGACGTGTACCTGGAAGACAAACGTACGTACAGCACTCACTGCTCAAAGCTGGTCATGACCTTACCGACATACAAATAATTTCGGCCGGAGCAGCTTCAGGTTTCTAGTCACTGTGTTACATCAGTATAATCAGAAAGATCAAGTCATGGAGGATGAGATGGGTAGGACATGTGATACGAATGGGAGAGAAGAGGGATACATGTAGGATGTTTGTGGAAAAGCCAGAAGGAAAGAAAAGACCAAGACGTAGGTGGGTGGATAACTTTAAAACGGATCTTAGAGAGGTAGAATAGGGTGATATGGACTGCACTGAACTGACTCAGAGTAGGTACCAATGGAGGGTTCTTGTGAACAAGGTAATGAACTTTCGAGTTCCACAAAATATTTGGAAATTCTTGAGTAGCTGTGGGACTGGCGGACTCTCAAGAAGGGCTCAACTCCTTGTAGTTTGTTTGTTAGTTATTTCGTTAGTTACGTAGGCCGCTCCATAGCTCAAGCGGTTAGTAGCTGGCTTCCAACCGCGGCGGCCCAGATTCGATCCCGGGTCTGGTCAAGTGGGATTCGTGGTGGACACAGTGGCGCTGGGGCAGGTTTTCTCCGAGTACTTCGGTTTCCCCTGCCAATCTTTATTCCACATATTGCTCCACAATCACAATTACCTATCATCTGGGGTTGGTACAATAGGCCAGAAGTGGCCGCAGTACAAGGGACGTAGTCCCACCCCACTAGCAATAAAAATATAGTTAGTTACGTAACATTGCGTTATATTAAATAAAGGTAACGTGCTTCGAGTGACATTCGAAGCCACGATCCTAGCGTTCGACCGAGCGAAGACAGTTAATGCCTTAGGCCGCGCGGCCACTGTGATCGGCTCTCTATATTTCGATGCTGTCGCCCCAGTACTAGCCTTACCAACTCTGTCATGTTTCCTTTGGTGAAATGATGGATGGGCAAATTTCATGCACTCTGAAAGAGGTCATCCTCGAACTTTTCTCGGCGTTGGTGAAACACGACGTAAATAAGGATCAGTGTTATCGCTTGAGGGAGTTATTTTGGAGGAGGAACAGGTTCGTGTGCCTCTATCAGACCCACCAAAGTTGACGGGCATAGTGCTACAACTTTATGTATTGTCTGAGGGAAGCGCAACTTCTGGAAGTCTGTCTGGATTGAATACATTCATCAAAGTATTAGAGAGCCCATATTCCAGCTGATCCTCTCATCTGTATAAAGTTTCGGACAGATAACATGACGCCACACGAAACAAAATTAAATTCATATTGACTCAGTAGTGCAGCCGCAGTACCACGAAGTATTTTGGATTTTGATTTTGGAAGGAGAAAATATGATACTAATTTGCAGCTTAGGATATGCTACGTTTTGTAAAAAATGGAGTAAAATTGTAAAGCTATCCTTGCAACATGCAGTAGAGTTCTATAGGGATGTGAGACGTCGAAGCTCCCACATTTTCCTGACAATCGTATCACAGATGGCGCTGAAGTTATTCACAAAATCACATAACTGTGTCCTATCCTGAACCTGTTCAATGCAACTCACAAATTCGTACCCTTTGTCTTTTATCTGTTTCAACATTATCCTGTCATCTACGACTAGCTCCCCCAAGTTCTCTCTTGCCGCTCAAATTTTCTGACAATTATGAGAAATATTTGGGTAGCTTGTTAACAGATGATAGAAGGTGTACTAGTGAAATTAAATCCAGGATTGCCATGGTAAAAGCTGCATTTAGCAAGAAGAAGAATCTTTTTTACCAGCAAATTGGACTTAAATTTTAGGAAGAAACTAGTGAAATGCTACATTTGGAGCATGGCTCTGTATGGGGCTGAAACATGGACACTTAGGGCAGTAGATCAGAAACATCTGGAAAGTTTTGAAATGTGGTGTTGGAGAAGGATGGAGAAGATCAGTTGGACCGATTATGTGAGAAATGAAGAAGTGTTAATTAGAGTCAGTGAGCAGAGGAATATCCTACACGAAATAAGAAAACGGAAGGCTAATTGGATTGGTCATGTTTTACGCAGAAACTGCCTTCTAAAAGAAGCTATCGAAGGAAAGATAGATGGGCGGATAGAAGTGACAAGAAGACGAGGAAGAAGACGTAAGAAGATGCTGGATGACCTTGGGGACAGAAGAGGATACTGTCATTTGAAGGAGAAAGCTCTAGATCGCATTAAGTGGAGGAATTGTTTTGGAAGAGACTGTGGACCTGTCGTCTTGACAGATTACTGATGATGATGATGATGATGATGATGATAAATACTGAAAGGGTTTGAACAGAATCAGTGAGGAACATAGCCTTTATGTTGCTACTACCAAGTCTCAACAGCTGTCAAAACCTTGGACTTCACACTGCAGAAATCTGTAAGACAACAGAAAACAAAAGAGATGCAACTTACTTGCGCATGTCTTTAAGCGAAGAGCGTCTGCTGGAGGAAGTTCCGGAATGCTCGACAAATCCGCATGTGCCAATAACTTCGTGTGTCCTGAATACACTTCGACTCTTGGATCTAGCGAAGTCATGTCGGAGACATCTTTTCGAGTTGTTCCTTTTGTGATTCCCGTTCATGATAACTGAAGTGGACGTCAGCAAATTCATCTGCTGTTGCTGACTCAGAGAGTTGTGCATGATGCTCGATGGGTCTTCTGAAGCCACGGCTGTGCTGCTGAAGTAGGAACTTCCCCCGTTTGGACTCGTCCCGCTGCTTCCTCCCTGGGAAGATCCTGAGCCTCTTCGGCTACTGCAGGTCACATAGTCGTCAATGGTGAGAAATCCGTGGGACACGAGCCATGCATTGATTGCTGACAGATCTGTCTTGCGTAGAAAGTAGTCCTGACATAGGTCTGGATGAGTGTCCAGCCACTCCTCGACTTCACCAAATGTCAGTTGAGTCATCGCGTTGTTTTATGCACAACTTGACTACATTTCTTCTCTTCTGTGACTCTTCCTGTGAGAAGAATCAGGCGAGATAAATCCACGCTGCTTCTGCAAAGAGAAGCAAAACATCGAGTCCATGAATACAAATATTATGGTTCTGGACATTATCTGTAGACCTATTTCTATTTAAAACACACGTTTCGGACATTGGATTCTGTCTCCCTATTCAGGTGAAACCTACTCAGTTCAGCCTAATCGAAGGAGCTAGTCCCTATCTCCGGACACCTCTACCAGCAGCAAGATAGGGTATACAAACAAAGCAGAGTACAAACCATCTGCGAGAGCAAAGACAATACATGAAAAACAATAAAAAAAAACTCCACACACATTTCACATTTCACTGTTTCACGGCTATTCGCGTTAAAATCAAGTTACTATCAGAGACAAATTCTCTGTATGGTACCAACATAAAAACACTAATTTTCGCACTTTACCTGCACCGGACGTAGTTTTTGGTTTTTACTTCTGCTGCGATAACAGGAGTCCAGATGGGAGAGATCTTACGAGGGCGAGTCAGTAAATAGTCCACAAATGGAAGCAAAACAGTTTTAATGGACGTAATAGGTTTCTCATCTCTACCACTAGGTAGCAGCACAGCCCAGCTTCATGACAGTATAGGTAACAGACGTGCATGCGCATGTTCAGAGGTTGGTTTTAATAGTCAAAATCGTCAAAATGGTGACCGTGCTTGAGAAGTATACTACCGAAGAACAGCATTCTGTTGTGTGTTCTTTGTTGGAAAAAGAACTCAATGTAAAGGATATGATACAGAAATGTTTCCTGTTTACGGTGCGAAGTATTTGTCGTTAAAGCGGTTCACTACAGAGCCGACAAATTCTCTCAAGAACGTTCGAAGTCGCAGATGAAGCCCGACCAGTTGCGGAAGTGACTGAGACAACAATCAAAAGACTCTACACTGCGGTATTCGACGCACTGGTAAAGCGATGGGACAAGTGTATCAATGTTGGTGGAGGATATATCAAGAAATGTTTCTTTTTTTCAGGTTTGAATATCATATGTTTTACTATTTACGTCCATTTGTGACCTATATACTGATCTTCCCTCGTATTTACAGAGTCCATTACTTAACCTACGGAGATAACATTGGTAGCGGCAGTAATGATGACCTCCTGAACATCGCAATTTTCATCTCCATAAAGCCTCTATTCGACTCTATGAACGAATCGAACCGTTAAATAAAACAAGCAGTCTATTAGCTGCTTGAACTGTGTAGGTCCTGTGGTCATAATACCTGTCTGCATGTCAGGGGGCTTATGAATAATGTAAAAGTTCTCGCGCGTTCTGTTCTGTTGTTGTATTATCTCGGGAACTAACACTTACTGGAAGAGTCTATTGAAGATATTGTCACGTGTATGTGTGTGACTACAGACGGGGTTATTATTGGTGAATGGGATTTAGTGACTACTTATGCACACGACAAGGAACTACAAGCAATTACAGCGCCAATGCTAATCTCCACAATTCATAAATTACCACAGCATCCGCTAAGTCTTTTAGAGCTTGCTGTGTCTTCACCAGCCATTCCCTGGTAACAGCTTCTAACAGTGGATATTCCTCAGCTTCACGCTCTCAGGTCCTCTCTTCACAGCCTCTCGTAAAGAAGTGACTTGAACTGATTTTGTCCCCTGCCTACATCACTTCGGCACGGACAACATAAGAAACACAGGTCTTCTATTATTGCGTCCAACTGTTGCATTATTGAGAATCTGATGCCTAGCAACGGGAACATATTTACCATACATTTGCTCAGAAACGGTCGCTGTTCAGAGTCACCGCTTAGCGTCTACACGTTGCAATATAAAGCTTGCGATGGATATTTAAAAAATTTCTGACAATCTACGCTGGAGATGAGCGCTGAAGTCATATATTTCGATACTGCAGTGCGGTTTAAATCAAAATTAGAATGTGTCTGCAGGCTTGGACAGTGAAGAATAAGCTCCTCTGTTCTGAAGTTGCTATATGAGGACAGATAAACGGAGAGTCAGAGAGACAAATGGGCAGAGGGGAAGACGGAAGGAAGAAGGGTTGAACACACAGACAGATGAAATATATGTCGAAGACAATTCTTGTTTCTGAACATGCCAGAAACTTGTAAAATAAAATATATAAGGAATGCCGTCATCTAGGATATGTCGCCGTGTAAATTTTGTGTAAATTGACGTTTCGGTAGAAGGTATCGCCCCGATCTTCAGTGTAGAAATATCCGGTAGTAAGGAAACAGCAAACTGCAGCCACCTGCTCACGCTTGTTCCTCGGTCGTGGATTTTTCTACCCTGAAGATGGAGGCGACACGTTCTCCGAAACGTCGGTTCACACAAGATCTATACGGCGCCACATCACAGAATACGGTATTCTTCATAGTCACCGCTGTGAAAATTTCACATCTTACATAAAATATAAAAAACCGAATTTTATCTGCTCTTTTATAAATTGGTCTCTAACATTTAGGGGCAAACAAAGATTAAGAATGCCGAGGAGGACACTTTGGCCTCACTGCGTGAAAGTAGGAGTATCCTGGAGTAAGGCACACTCGCGAAGCTCTTCACTAAACATTATTAGGATGATAAAATCAAAATTATGGTAAGGGGGGGAGGTAGCTCACATGAGATAAAAAATCGTGCAGAACAATAATTCGACTACATAAAAAGAAGAAGCCACTCAGAAGACCTCGCCATAGATTGAAAAATAATATTAAAATGGATCTTAAATGAGTAGGTTATAATTCAGAGTACTAGGTGGGTTTTGTGAACATGGAAAATAAATATTCGTGTTTCCTAAAAGCGTGAAATAACTTGATTAATTTAGTGACCTTCTTCTTCTTCTTCTTCTTCTTCTTCTTCTTCTGTTCCTGATGCCCCAATTTGGGGTACAGGGCATCCTTGAAATGCTTCGTTCACTTAAGTTTCTTAATATTACAGAGTCGGCAGAATTCCTTCGACGGGGGATCAGCCCGTCGCAGGGTCACTACCTAACACTAACACAGAATAATCACGGACATCCATGCCTTGAGTGGGATTCGCACCGACGATCTTACTTTTCTAGCGAGCGAAGACTCTTCATGCCTTAAACCGCGCGGCCACTGTGATCAGCTGAGTGACCATCAGCTTTTCAAAAGGCGTCTGATCCTTCGTGGTTCTGCTTGGGATATCGCTTATTCTCACTGAGATTCTTGGTGGCTTTCTTATATCCCCCCAAGAAAACTCCATTTCCTTCGAAATCCTTTTCTGAATTCATCAGTCATCCAAATGCTGGATATTTTGCAGTCCAAGATATTGACAACGATGCAAAATGACCCCAATTCGCTAATGGAGGATATGTATCACGGTTAGAATAGCATTTGCATAATTGGAACTTGCAAGTAAATACAAGTGTGAATGGAGTAGAGACAATATTAGCGGAGGATGTCGTATTATTGCTCGCCTTCCACTCTAACACCAGCCTCATAAATATTTACTTTCAGTGTAATCATAATTAATTGCTCCAACTACTTGCTCTGGGTCCCAGAGTAGGCGCAGTGTTGTGTGATTTGTTGGCAAAGTCGATCGAAGTGCATCAAATTAATTTCACTCTAACTTTCCAATTGATTCCCGATACAGAACTAAAGCAGACGAGGCTCAGAAGCTGTTCGATAAAAGCAAGAAAGAAGGGGAAAAAAGGTAAGGCTATCCCTGTTATAGGCAGTGGAAGCCAACAGGGTTGTGAGACGTCGAGACTCCCGCATTTTCTAGACAATCGGCTCACAGTTAGCGGTGAGGTCAGCCTCTCATGTCATCCGTCCTGTACTCCCAGGAAGATTACTGGTACTCATTTCTGTTAGAGGCCAGGGACATAATACGACTGGAACGATAAGATCAATTGAAAAATCCAATAACCTCGTCGGGAAACGAATCGCGACCTTCCAGCTTGTAGCATAGTGCCTCAACCAACTACGCTACCGCGTACCGCCTATGAACACAGCCGTAAGAAAGAATATCATATACTACTTTCGTAACCAATCTCCCTTGTTACCGGAATAATTTACCTCCTCTTTTACGAATGTGTTAATATCTTCTTTGTTGTCTATTGTCACGTTCTTGCAACTCTTTCCTGATCAGCCTTGCTTGGAGTGTACATGTAGGATGCAAACAATGAAGATTATTTCCAAAGAATATTAAACAAACTGGAAATATATTCATCCTTTTCATGAAAATGGGGCGGCTACATTTCCCTCTGCTTCCTACTTAATAGCTAACAGGCTATACAGAACATTTTAAACTTGTCCTGTCATTTTCCTTTTTCGTACCGCGAACCTGAACGAGAACAACCAACACATTATAAAGTTTACTCCCGAACTCTTGCCAATACATACGGGAGAAACTGGTGCTAAATTTCCACGTAATTATTCAGGTATAGCTTTCTGAAATAATTCGAATCAGCATTCAGGATCTCTGTTTCGATTTTTTATATAAGTAAAGGAAGCACGGGGTAGCGTAGTTGGTTGAGGCACTACGCTACAATTCAGAAGGTCACAGCTTAGATTCCCGATGAGGTCATTGGATTTTTCAATTGACCTAATCCTTCCAGCCGCAGTATGGCCCTAGAGTCGACTCAGCCTCTAACAGAAATGAGTACCAGGAATCTTTCCGGGGGTGTCGGCCAGCCGGCGCGTAAGGCTGACAACTTCACCGCCATCTAAGTCGATTGTCAAGAAAATATTGGAGCCTCGACGTCTCACAACCCTATGGGCCTAAACGTATTCTTACAGGGATAGCTTTACCGTTTATATGAGTAAAGACAAGTTTTGTAACTCCATTTTTATTCTATCTTAAAAGTTTCAGCTGCTGTACATTCGGAAGCAACCACTCCCCGGGGGAGTAACTGGTAAGTCTCAAAGGCCGCGCCATAGCTCAAGCGGTTAGTCGCTGGCTTCCCACCGCGGCGACCCAGGTTCGATCCCTGGTCTGATCAAGTGGGATTTGTGGTGAACAAAGTGGCGCTGGAGTAGGTTTCCTCAGAGTACTTCGGTTTCCCCTGCCAATCTTCATTCC